ACTGATTTAAAGAATCCCGAGCGAGCCATGGTTCACGGCGTGAACCACATAGGATTGCGTAGCAATTCTCGGGGGATGGCGAGCGTTAGCGAGAAGGGGGCGGAGCCTCCTAGTTTTAAGTAAATCATTAACTGTCTCAGTTTTCAAAGAGTTTCCGTATGCTGCAAATATTTATTGATAATACGAAAACATGATCAATTATAGAGCATAAACGTGAACATCTCAGTTCTGTGGAAAATATGGTTATTTGATGAGTCCGAATCTTCTCGCCAATTTTAAATATTCGATCACTAATGGCGAGGGGAAATTTCCCTCTCTGTTTTAAGTAAAGTAAAAAAATCAACAATAAAACATAAACATTATTAGTAACTGAATTTTTCAAGAAATTTTAATTTACAAGTTTAAAATTTATACGAAAGAAAGAAAGATCAATCCACACCAATATGTTTTTCCTTTTCTTTGGGCGGGGGGTGTCAGAATTTGGTCTCTTAAACGGTAATCCATGTCACTGTGGATCAGGTAAGGGGGAATTTTAAGTATAAAAGCCGGGTTTTAAAAAAATTGAGGTAAAATGTGCGAGCAAAGCAGGATTACGTACATTACAGGATACGTACATTAATTATGATAATACCATTATAGAAAATACGTAATTGAAAGAATAAATAAATTTTCAAATCGGTTGTGAAATTAGCTTAGTTTTTCAAACTATAGCATTACTGCATTTAATCCAGCCCACCTCAACCCCGGGAACGTGCTTGATCAGTGGCAATTATTTAAAATTTCAAAAGAAAGGAGGTTACAGTTTTGTTTACAAATATACAGAAATATTCATTTAAATATAGTTTAAACAAGAATTTTTTTATAACTATATATGACATAGAAAGTGACAATAAATGAATTTTGAAAAGTAAATTATTAAATAAAAGGTTAATGAAAAATAATTTTTTTTAAATTGTTGATTTCCCTAAGTTTAGATGGTAATGTTGCAGGTAAATAATATTAATTTAAGTTCTCCATTAAAATTCTGATTTCCAGGTATTAAATAATAAAAGAAAGTAATTAAAATGTTGCAATAATAAATAAGAAATTGAATAGAAAAATATATACAATATTTACAACATATAAGTAAGCATTCCTAAATATACATAAATTTTTTTTAATTTAAAATTTTAGAATAGTATCATTATCAGAAAGAAAATTCATAACTAATAATAATTTGGATTCAAGTGTATTGTTTGTTATGAAATGTTTTTGCAAGATTGGTAGATTAGTAGTAGGTAGTGTCTTGTGAAAAATACTTCATTTAAAGCAAGTAACACTTATTTTAGGTTTTAATGAAATTAATATATTATTCTATTTCATAACTACGGTCATATTTGATTCAACAAATACTTTTTGTTAAAATTCATTGAGAACGAGTATTTATTTTTAAAAAAATATATGTAAATGTACTTCTGTCACATTAAATTGTTCTTTGGTTCCTTCAAAACATTCGTCTTTAACTTATTAGCAGAATCTTTCCCTCCATCAGTCTTTTTTTTAAAGTTTTTATTTCTGTAATTGAGTTTTTAATTTTTGATCCCATGAAAGCGGCAGTTTGTCATCAAAGAAACAAATAAAGAAAATATAATTCTCATAGAGAACCTTTCAAGTGAAACTAACTCCTAGTTCCTTTTTTTTTCTTCTTTTTTTTTAAAGAGGAATTTTCTTTTTTAATACTCTTTCATTCCCTCAGCTGGTTTATTTGAAAAACGAGCAAATTGACCACTATCATATCTTACTTATGTCTAATAAGAAAGAAAAAAAAACTTTTAAAGAGGAAAGTGAATGCACCAGGCAAAAATATCTATCTATATATTTTTTTTTAATTTTTAATTTATAAGAAAAAAAATTATGAAGGGAAAAGGTTGTAAAAGGGATCGGTTGGGTGCCGCGCTCCCTAATAACACAGGCCAATTCTATCTTTTTTTGTCTATTGTATCTTTTTAAGATTTTGTCAATTGTATCCTTTTAAGATTCTCTATATTTTACTAATTGTCTGAATTTAAAACTAAATTTAACATAGTAGTGCACTGGAAAAATCAGATTCCCGTTCAGGAAAAAATGGAGGCTTAAATAATTTCCCATTAATTATGTTAGATTTATATACAGCTACTTTATCTCGTAGTATTAAGAACCGCTGGTGTACTTAAGGTGTAGTTTATATATATATATATATATATATAGCATAATAAATAAATAAAAAAAACACGAAGAAAATTAAGAAAACTACAAGTTTTATTTTTTGCGCATAAGCTGCAAGTAAATAGAGCTCATAAAATAAGTTCAATATTTGATATATTTTGCTTTGGCTATATTGATGCAATATTAGAAAGCACTCTTTTTTGTGGATATAATTGTGCGAGCTGATGAAAAGATTATATCTTTTATTTTCCGGATATTTTAAAGTTTTTATACTTAAGGTGTGATGAAGAACATGCACCGAGGCACCTATATTGGGATGTCTAGATTTTTCAATATTGGTCCTAGAATAATCTAGGACCAATATTGAAAAATCTAGATACCTTAATTCTTAGCCAACATTATAAGTCTATAAGGGTCCTACATATAAAATGATATTGGTCCATTATTAAAAGTCATTTTCAGAGTTTGACTAAGGCAGGGGAATACGGTGCAGTTTCCCTGAGCCCCCAAAACAGAGGGGACCCCAAAATCAAATAGAGAAAGTTTATTTTACTTCTCCTTCTTTAATGAATTTTTTATGAACAAGATATCAGTACAGTGTAAAATTCTTCATTACATTATAAATTCTTCATTAATCTATCGTATGAACATGAAAAATCTATG